ATATCGATACTTGCTGGATTCCCCAAGCATTCAGCTTTCATATGCATCTATTGGCTTCATTATATCTAGTATAGTTTTCGAGTAAATCAATGAAATGTGAAAACACTGCTTTTTCGAGCATTTTTTAAACTTTTATTAACTAATTTAGTGATTTAATAATTATCGTGCAGATTATTAGGTAGGTGAGAGACCGCAATGTTGTAAACGTTTTTTTACAAAAGAAACAATACGAATACGAGAAAAACGAACAAATATTCTGCAGGTCCGGAAATTTTCCTTTCTTTTCGCCCCCTCAAGAAAGCAATAATAATAATAAGCATTTGCAGCAAGTAAGATATCTATAACTATAGAGTACATGTGTAAGTGATCTAACAAATTTTTAGATTTTATATTTTTTAAAATACTTCACTATACTTTCTATTTTTCTTTTGTTTTTATTGTGAGAAATGTCTGAAAAAAAATAAATAAATAAAACCTATTTTTAAGTATTAAATCAATTTATTAAAAAACGTCTACGTGTATTTATTACTAGTTTGCAAACTGGGAGGTGAAAACACAGAGAGAGAGAAAAAACACGAATAATATCAACAAAAAAAAAAGAGAAGATAATATCAAAATTGCGACGAGTTTACTTCACCTTCTTGACCTGCTGACGCTTCCTGGTGCCCAACTTTTTGCACCTTAACTTGTACATGTGAGACATGAGCACGTAGATGCCGGGCAGGAAGAAGAACAGCAGGTAGACGCGAAGGAGCAGCGGGAAACTGAAGATGAAATTGTACTTGTTGGGCATCTGGAAACTGAACTGCTGTGTTTCTTCGAAATAGGGGATGCTTCGAAGCATGATGACGCCCTCGCATATGAAACCCATAGGATACAGAGGGATCCAGATCGTGTAACGGAGCCATGTGAGGAAACCGTTGTTCTGGTTGTACACCTGCGTGATGTAATACGGATACCTACGGATGCAAACGTTAGAAAGTTGTTGTTATTAGAACAGCTGTTACAATTGTTTTCTTACCTGATCAATTCAATTGAAGTCCAGACGAGGAACAGATAGAAAATAACCGGTTTCGTCTGCATGCGCGGCTCCGAATCGATCAAAGCGAAGAGCACCAGAGCTCTGCCCATCACCTGCATACTCGCAGTCATAACGCTTCCTTTGGTGTAGCCGAACAGTGGATGCATAATCTCCAAGAACTGCATCATCTGCAGAACAATCATAGCGGGACCGACAGCCTCGTAAGTGCTGGCGTAGCTGTCAGCTCCGTCCCTTAAGAATCTAGTGGCCATGACGCAGAACACGTAAATGAAACCAATAAACATTCCGAAATTATAAAACGCCAAATAAACTTTTCTCCCATCCTCTGTACAAACAAACAAACAAAAATTCAATAAATATTAAAATTTTATATTAATTAAAAATACCTTTAGAGAATCCACGTTCCTCCTTCTGCAAATTCTTATACAGCTGTGGATAATCCTCTCGGATATCCCTGACCTTTTCATCCTCATCATCATCGTTCAGACACTCCTCATTCTGCCACCTCTGAAAGTCTATCTTCAGCCAAGCAGGTTTCTGCTGCTGCTTCATCAGTCTGGACCACCATCCCTTCTCGGCCTTCACAATCGTGAAATCCACTATGCTATCAGTCACTTTGTAGGTGCTCTCCTGCAAAAGATACTCTCGATAATATAGCACAACAACATCTGCAGAGAAACCACTTACATCTGGATCAATGTCTGCGTAGAAATCAAATTTGAAGGCATATTCGTTGAGGCCCTGAGAACCGGCACCCAGGGCTGAAAAGTTTATGTTCTTCGATTCCAAGATAACGTCCACATCCTATTAGATCACAAGAAGAAGAAAGAGATTCGTTAGGATTCTTTCTTTGTGTGTGCAGTACGTACCTTGGACACCCGCAATTCCACTTTAATGTAAAGCAATTCCTCATTTTGTGCCCAGTATATGAAGGGACTTAGTTTGGGCATATTCACCAGCAGATATGTTTATCTTCGTAAATCGACGATAAACCGGAATTATTATGATCAAATCTGACGTTTGGTATACTTCTTCTTATTCTTATACCTTAATTGCGTTTCAAACCCAACAAAACTATGAAAATCTTTAGAAATAATTAAAGAAATCTATACAAATACATTAAAATACAATAAAACAAACTTCAAGCATAAGCTACATAGTATATTTATTACTTTTAATACGATTGATAACATTTTTCAGTAGCTAAACTGGTTGCATAGGTATAACAAACAATAATATTAATTATCCATTAATATTACATATTACAGCAATATGGATAAAATTCTATCTATTATAGTTTTCAAAATCATTTAATTATTTATTACGTCGTATTACAGCAATATGGATAAGAGCACAGGAATGTATTTATACTTGCTGGATTCCCCAAACATTCAGCTTTCATATGCATATATTGGATT